TACTTGCGGTGGAGAAGTTCCTTGAGCGTTTCCTCGCGTTTTGCCTTCATTCTCCTGTTCCAGCCTTCTTCGCTGCCGGGGGTGAGAAGCCGTGCCTGCAGTTCCTCTTCCGAGATGCTCTCGGCCATGTTGATCAGCGACCCGAGCACCGTGCGGATGTAATTTGGCGAATCTTTGTCTGGCCGGTCGTGCTTGAATTGCCACAGCCCCACGTCCGCGTTGAACGCAAACTCGAGGATGGCATGACCGGATGGCGACCGCTGGAGCACGCTCTGAATCTTCGCAGTGTCCTTCGGGTCAACGATTACGATCTGGTCGAGCTCGATCGGTTTGTTCTGCGGCCCCGAGCAGCTATACCGCACTGCGCCATCGCGCCACTCGGCCAGAAAATCAATCGTGATCAAGTCGCTCCACTTCCACTTGAGGTATTCTGCCATGTCGCGCGCATCAAGTTCCCGTTGGGATGATGCAGAGACCTGTACCTGGATGTGAAAAGCTCACGTACGGCGACTGACCCGGGCAAAATACAACGCCGTCTGTGAAATGCTCGCGCTTGTCGTCTGCGTACACGCGGACGCGGGTCTTGGCATGGTTGGCGAGCTTCATCGACTTGATGCTGTCAAAGAGGTGGCGGATTTCCTTCACGGGGGTCCATCGCTTGCGCAGGAGCGGGAGGACAGCGTCCATGTGGATCGCGTGGCTGCGAATGCCCTGAAGATACGGTCCTCTAATGGCATAAGTGTGCGTCAGCGCATCGTCATGGCACCGTTATCGCGTACTCGTCTGCCAAGAATTGAAACAGGACGTTCAGCCGATCGCGGAAAATCTTTTTCACACACGAATCCGCATGCAATGGCCCGATTGCAATCACGTCAAACGCCATGTAAATGAACCGCTGCTGCTTTTGATGGAGCACGTACTCGCCGTCGAGGACCGTGCCATCCGGCAACAACCACGATAGCGCTTCCAGACCTACACGCGGCATCGCATCAACGACAAGCGCGCGCGATGATTATGCCTACCTGGCGCCGTAAACGGCAAATTCGACCGATCGACGAGCACCACCCGTTGGTTTGCCGCCACGAGAAAGTAGCGCACGCCGTCTGTCTTTTCGGAACAAAAGTAATCGCGGTCCTAGCCCCATCGCTCAGCACAGCGTCAGCACCTTCCACCGACCCGGACGTTTGGAATGTGCCACCGAGCAAATCCGACCGGCATCGTGCCGGGAAACTTTTGCGGATTGTCAAAGTGCCGCTGGTACGCGTGCCGCAGCGCGTTGTCCGGGTCGACTGCGTCCCATGTCTGCCGGTACGCTTGCGACGCGGCCACCATAAAGTGCCTGCACCACCAAGAGCAACGTGAGAAACGGTACGTACAACAAACGCAAGTAAATCCGTTCAAAATCAGCCAATGAAGTAAATTGTGGAAAATCGTCCGAATTCCATCCGCCAATCCGAATTGATCCGATTTGTTCCGAATTGCGCCGTTGGCCAAGGAAAAAAGAGGTCAAAATTGCAGACAAACGGGGTACAGCGAAATTGCGAAAAATACTCCGGAGTAGAGGTCAAAGATGGAGACGTTGCTGGGGCAGATCCAAATTAAAAATCCTTTTGCGCTGGACCAGACATAATGGGTAGAGAAATTGCTTCAAAGTGACTGTAGGTCAGAAAAAACGACGGGGAAATTGGTGAGAATGCGGTGGGAATCCCTCCATCAACAGCAGACAAAGAGATTCACGACCACCTCGAGCAGACAAAGAGTAAACCACCGTATGGCTCGTATAAAAAAGTCGGACCAAGTTGCGGGCAAAGAGCGATACCCACCTCGACACAGTCGACCAGAGCACGCCGGCGCTGCCAATCGCACCTTTCCACGTCTGATCTTCTGGGAGGTTGAGCCAGTCCTTGACCATCGTTGGCTGCAGCTCGAGTTCGACTTCGTACGACATCACGACGTCGCCTTCGTGAACCTCCGTCAAGTCGACGCGAACATCCCGTCCCACCGCCGATTCTCGCTTCTTCCCTGCCGCAACACGTGCGCAACTCGCCTTCCCCATGGAAGCAACACGCACCTCGTCGGTGTTCGGGGGCGGGCAGCGACTCGAGAGAGACTGGCGTCGGCGCGAATTCGAGCGAGATCGCCACACGGCAGTCGTAGTCACAGTGTGGCAAAAAGATGTCGATGGTCCCGAGGCGCTGCTTGACTTGCTGGTATGGCGCCATGGTCTGTCCAGTGTTCAAATCGATCTCTTCCACGACACGCTTGCTCCCGGGAAAAGTCGACACGTTCTGGTGTTCGACGTGCTTGGCGTACGCGTCGGACATTGTGAGTTTCATGGCTTTGCGGTGAAACCCAAGGTAGTCTTCCTTCTTCACACCTGGGACGAACTTGGCGCCGTGCGACTTCATGTCGGCCTCTTGCAGAATGACGCACGCATCGCCGGGTGTAGATCCACTGAAGCGTTGACCTGTGGCGGACGACGTGATCTTACCAAGACGAAGTTCCACTTCAACTGTCGCGCCGTATCCTTGGCTGTCAATGGCTTCTCGCATCTCGAGCAGAAAGTTCGCGATCGCTCCATCCGGCGCTTGCGACGTATGCGTCGGGAGTTTGGGGCCGCGGGACCCACTGCCTTGGTTGTCGCCGAGCATTGCATGCACAGCCAGGTCGGACTTTCGAGCCTCGTCCATTGACTTGGTCTTCTTTCCCACCGCGCTGAGCATCGTGTTCAGCACATTCGCGCTTCGCTTCGCCATGTTCAAAGCCAAACTGGTGTGTGGTGTGGGATAGCGGCATCCCATTGGACAGAATTTCAGCCAATCAGATGATGTATTAAAACGAGGACGAAATTTGGCGTCTTTTGTGAACTCGGAATTTCGCTGAGGTAAACGGAGTCAAATTAGTGACATGTAAGAATACGTGCACTACTTTCGATCGTGATTTGTTAATACCCCGTTTATTGTGCATACAAAATCCTTGTGATAAAATAACCATTCGATGTGCAGCATAGAACTGCAGCGAGCACCATGTCGAACCAATAAAGTTGTCACAAGCTGAAGGATGCTGGGTCGAAGTGCGCAAGGGCTCAGGGCATCGTGCGCGGTGGCGTCCCGATGCATGTCGTCTGTGCAATTCAACGAAGATGCCAGAAGAAACAGCAGCGCCATTGAGAGAGCTGTCGCCGAAGCGACAGCGTTACTGAGGCAGCGATTGCACGATGCCGAGGTCGAGAATGCCCAGCTTCGATTGGCATTGAAGAATGCAACCATGCATCGGCCCGATCAACCGCCGAGCGTGGTGAAAGCAAAGACTCCTGCGGCGTCTGCCACGGTGAAACCACGTGCGTCGTTGGTGGAACACAAACCAGCAGGCCTTGATGCAACCGACTGCCTTCGACCTGTCCAAGAAGAGGCAGCAGGATTTCCCACCGAAGCCAAGATGAAGAGCGACCTGTACGGCGGCTCCACACCCGTTCAATTCTACTTTCGTCTGATCGAATGCACAAGAAAGTACATGCTGTCTCCCAAACTCCGAAAGGTTCGCGTCATTCGCGTCGTCCGTTCTTCTTCCTGTCGTGTACTCTGTAGACTCTGTCAACGATGCCGCTGCTGGAAATGTCGTGGACGTCCAAGGAAGCGCCAGCGATCCTGACGGCTCTGGTTTTGCTGGACCGTCTGAACGACGCCAAGGTGTTTGCGTCCCGGTACGGATCGGACTTGGCACTCCAGCACCGCTTCATGGCCCAAGCATCCCGCGTCAAGTGTCCCGACGTCGCTATTTCCATCCTCGCCAACGTGGCAGACGTCCACTCGGCCGACGCGATCGATGCTTATTTATACACCGGGGCGATCTCGGCTTGCAGCAACGGGCCCGCCGAGTTTGTCCCGATGGCGTTTGAATTGTTCGAGGACTTGATCCGCGCGCCCCACGTCGATGCCACTGCGCTCACGTACGCCGCTGTGCTCAGCGCGTGTTCGCGTCTGGACAAATGGGACTACGTACGTCTGCCATGGATGCTGTTGCTGCATTTTCGACAGTGTTGCTGCGTGATGGGCGTTTGGGATCGTTTTGTGCGATCATGTCGTGAGTTAGTTCATTGCTGCTGCCCTTGGATGCATGTTTGCTCGAATTTCGATGGACACGTACGTGGAGGCTGACGAGGTGTGTGTGTGCAGGCGATGCGCGTGCTGCGGATGATTCAAGCACTGCCGGATCGAGCGGACGTGATCGCGACCGTGATCCAAACAGTGGGGCTGGCCAACCATCACGAATTCGCGTTTCGGTTGTTCAAGTTTGCGTTGGACGCCCACCTGCCGCTGCCGGAGCGGGCCGTGCGGGTGGCGCTGTCGTCGTGCGCCAAAGTGTCGAATCGAGACAGCGCCGTCGACCGCCTGGACAAGTTGCTGCAGTCGGTGCTGTCACCGTCCGCTGCGACGCCGTCGTATTCGCTCAAGCTGTACAACGCGCTCATTGCCGCTTATGCCAACCTCGAGCCGGCCACGAGCTTTGACGTGTACGATGCGTTGCACGCACGCGGATTCGTTCCCGACATTTACACGTACAACAGCGTGCTGCTCGCTTGCGTCCGCGCCCGGGACATTCCCCGCGGCCTCGCACTCTTCCGCGCCATGCCGGTGCAATTCGACCTCGTCACGATCTGTACAATGCTGCAACTGTGTCGCCAGTCCAGCAACGACGTCGACGCGGCCGTGCAAATGGCCACGGACCTGTACTTTGACGGGCTGAATGCGTTTGGGCCGTCCATCACGCTCTACGAAGAGTATTTGGAGACCCTCGTCGAGCACGAGCGCGTCGAGATGGCCGTTCAGTTGTACGACAAGAATCGCCGACTCGCCGACTTTATGCGAACGTCCAAGTTGCTCAACCTGTTGCTTCGTGCAACCAAGCACGACGTTGCAACAGCTCAGCGCATCTTTGACGACTTTGCCAATCGCAACGTCCCGGTTGCGTCCGTGAGCTGGAACCACCTGATGGCGGCATACATCGCCGCCAACGACCTCGGCCGCGCCGAACAGGTCTTGATCAAGATGCAGCAGCTCCAGGTCGCAACTGTCTTTAGCTACCAGCTTCTCATGGCGGCGTACTACAACTCGAAGGAGTACACGCACTGCGCTCGCATATTCGACCAATTCGACGGCCTCCGGTTCCAGCGCATGCACTCGGGCATCCACGCGAAGCCGCAAAAAGTGCCCCAATCCGGCGTGGTCATTCTCGCGTCGCGAGCACTGTACGAACTCAAGGACTATCGTGCTGTTGTGGCCATGGCGCCGTCGTTCCATGCGCCGCGGCTGAGCCAGCTCACGGACGGGTGCAAGAAGGAGCTCGTTCGACAAGCCATTCTCGCCAGCGAACAACTCGACGACTGGCAATCGTGCGTTCAGTTGTACGGCGAGATGGTGCGTGCCGGCGTGTCCGACGTGAAGGCGTACGAGGCGACTGTGCGAGCCGTCGCCAAGGCTGGCGAGTTTGAGGCCGCCCTCGACGTGAACGGTGGCGACTGGTACCGCAATGACCGTCACGACAAGCACTCGAAAGGGTGGTTTGCGCCCCAAGACGACTGACAACGATATAGACTGTTAGATAGAGTGCCCTCGAACACATCGACGGCGTTGCCCTTGACACAGTGTTCGTTGTTGACATGATTCTCGCGCGATATCATGCAGGCGCTAAAAACCTGCGGGAAGACACCACCTTGATAGGGAGGTCCAAACCCCATACCGGGACTTCAGACAACCCGCCGATCCATCGTTCGTCGAACGAGGTGTTCAGTGTCCTTGGAGGAGGCGGGTAGTGAGTGTTTATCCAGTCGGGTTCGGCTCAAGGCACGCTTGATCCCGTGCGCCATGCCGAGAGGTTGCATGCTTCTTTATGGAATACTTGAAATTGCAAATATTAAATATTTCACGAATACCCAAAAACCACAACAATTACCCAGTTTTTGGAAACTTCCAAATTTGCAGAAATGGGAGCAAATCCCAAAAATTCCTCGAATTCATGTTACACATGTATTTCATGCACAAAGAGGTGTCGAATGCGACAAGCACCGTGGGGGTGCCAGGACGCCGACGTCGTCGAGCGGCATCTGGGCCGTGTGCTCTCCAAGGGCGTACCGTCAGCGTTCTCGACGATTCCCGATCGACGAAGGATCTGCCTTGCCTCGACAACGCGTCTGCCACGGTGACGTGACGCACACTCACACGGTGACAACATCATGTGCGACAGACGCGCGCGCGCGTGCGACCAGACAGAAGCCAGCCGCGAATCCATGCCTGGCGTCGCCTTGCCCGACGCTTCATGTGGTCATGGACCCGTCATGAAGCTGGACGATGGGACGCGCCGCCGCCGCGAAAAGAGAACGAAATTGACGTTGAAGTTGCACCGCATGCCCGCCACGCGTTTACAAACTTCGACGTAGCAGTTGCCGATTGTACCCAATCAGCGATGGCATGCATTGGAACAGCCAATCCCAATTCATCATGGAGGAATTTTAGCCAATCGTATCGAACGTGCCTGTCCCCGATCACTTCAACGTGACTGAGACGCCACGTCCGCCATCTTCAGAATTGACGACGACGACGCCGCCATGAGTTACATGACGAGTGCGACGCTGCCGCGGCCGTCGGCCCCACTGCCCGCCCTGCGAGTGACCGTACCCATCATGAAGGCACAGGACGGCACACCGCTCTTTGCGCTAAAGACGAAAAAGCACACGACGGCACTGCCGACCAACCCCGACATCGGGTCGCTCTATTCGATGCTCCCGCCGTCGCAGCAACGATACGGACTCAAGAAAACCGCGGGCGGCGGGTTGTCACGCGTCAAGGAGAAAGACACACGCAGCAAGGCGCGTCCAGGGTTTCGCAAAGGCAAGTGGACCGACGAAGAATCCAAGTTTGCCGAGCAAATGGCGTACTATTTCAAGGAAGGACTGCTTCCCCTTGAGAAAGGAACGATGCTGCGCATGTACCTCGCGGAAAAACTCAACTGCGAACCCATGCGCATCACGAAAAAGTTTACTGGCGACGAATGCATCGGGAAACAGATCTTCCGCCCCATGCCGCCGTCCCCGCTCGTCGATCAACGCATTCAAGACGCGCTCAAGGAACTCGAAGTGCTCGAGAAAGCCTTCCTGGACCGGATTGAAGAAATGCCCATGTACTGCATGAGCACGAAGCGGAGCATGACTCCCGACAAGCAGCTCAAGCGGTCCAAGAAAACCGTGCCGTCTCCAAATGTTGATGTCCCTGCTGCATCCGATGTTGCGCGGCGCGACCACACTCACGACGCCGCGAGCCTCCTACTCGGGTTCTTCCACCAAACCCACGTCACAGTGTCGAGCGATGACAGTGCCGCGATAGAAGCGTCGCGATCGCCGCCACCACCCCACGACCTTCCGTCGCTCTCGCCCAAGGACGACGTTGTTGTGTACCGGTCCAAGCGCAAGTTTTCCATCTCGCATTGCGTGAGCGAGTACGAGTCGTACATGCAGCGCCCGCGGATAGATTCGTTCAGCTTAGTCTCGTCCAATTAGATCATCAACGTCACCCTTTCAGATTGTCTTCGCCCGCGCTTCCATCGTGACATGGCCCGCGCAACGCTGGAAGAGACGCAGCGTTGCCTCGGGTGCCGCCATTGTTCCGACACACATTTGGCCGGTCCAGTTGAGTACACTTGTACACATGCAAGCCGTTGTTCGACCAGCATCGCCGGCCAAGAAGCTCGCTATGGTGCAGCTTGAAGACTGTCGACCTCTGCAAAACTCGGTCTCCGAGCAAGCCAACAATTGCATGGACCAAGGGATGAGTGGTCGAGAGAGGCTGGGCCGCCGCGACGACTCGATACGCGGGCAATTCCGCGGCAAACATCGCGATTCGCACCATGCGTGTCCATTTGGACGTAGCGGCCAGTGGAGATTCAAGTTTCCGACAGAAGACAGATGCTGGTCTATTCAAGGGTTGACGCTTGAAACGCCGTGACAGGGACAAATTGCGTTTCGACCCCAGCAAAGCGTCCGTTGATTCGCCTTCGTTTGGCTGCAACTTGCTGTCTCGATTCAAACACGACTTTGGAGGTCGCACCGCGATTCCGCTTCTTCTCTTTCCATCGACCCACTCGGTCCTCGCGTGAGAGGTGCTTCACGGCGATGGGTGGCCCGCACACAAAGCTCCCGACCAAAGGGGGGCGATAACTTGTATATGTGGGCAATCGACTCAGTTGTGGAATGCGACTGTCAATCGTCAACCCAATAGGAGGCTTCTGGACCCGACAGTCGAGGACGGACGCAGCCTTCACAGCAGACACTGCTTTCTCAAACACACTTGACAGCATGTCGACGGCAGCGGCATCCTCGGCATCCTTCGCATCTTGAACAAAAGAATCGAACATCAACGCAACTTCGTCCACAGCTTGAACATCCGCTGTCGCGGCGGCTTCATTCAACGAGTCAAAGAGGTCCGCAATTTCATCAACAAGTCCAGCGGCATCCGCTGAGGCTTCAATCTCTTGTTCCAGGACAAAGTCGTCACTGCCTTCCAACATGTCAAACATCTCCGTGATGCCATCAACCACAACCGCGTCGTCGTCGTCGTCGTCCGCATCGATCACTTCAAAGTCTTCACAATTCTTAAACCATTCACTCACTTCGTTCACCACACACGCGTCGTTGGTCGTTTGTTCTTGTTCAATAATCGAGAACAACGCACTCAAGTCGTCGACGTTCGCAGTGTCTTCTTGTTCCTCTTCCCGATTCCGTGTCTTCCAATTCGAGGCATTTTTATCATACTGGGGCGCCTCGTCCAGCCCAGCACTCAAATAATTTAGTGCATCATCGAATTGCCAGCCCAACGTTGGTGGTAGTCCTTGGAGGGTTCGACGAGCGGCACAGTTCGGAAAAAATTCGGTTCCGCATGGAAGTTCTCGATCGTGGTAGCAACTCGGGTCGTCATTGTCTTGAAATTGAGCAAAGTTGACCTGGCAGGTGCTAAAAATGAGTTACGCTTGGAGCGACGGGACGGAGGAAGCGGCTAGTGTGCAGGACTGGGACTATGTCGCGTGCTATCAATCCTGCGCCGCGAGATAAGGAAGGAGCAGAGAAGGGACGGGAGGCGGCCGGGGGACACGCGCACTTCTCTGGACCAAGGAAATTCGAAAGTGAGAACACATAGCCCATACAGCGATCAACATTCCTCGCACCGAGCTCACTTCGAACTTGCTATTTGTATGGATGAATGACCTTCACTCAAGCTCCAACGTAATGACCAATCAAAGCTGTCACCCAACCATTGTGATACCGAACGTCGCCCCCCCCACCGCCGTTAACGAGACATGCAATCCTCTTCTGTCCATTTGGCGGCATCCGTGTGTCGCTCGCCGGGACCATCTATTGGTGATGTAATCCGCATTGTTGGCGAACTGAACCATCGAGGATTGTGCAGGGCCCTTGCAATGTTGGGGTACATTGGACGAGTGTACGGTCGACAGCCCACCACCACAACAAGCTAGAAGTATTAAAAGTTCCCGTACAACAATGTACTTTGTATGAGTAATGCCGTCCATTTTATTTCTATTCGCTGGTCATGATATCAGTGCGAGATGGCTGGCGCCTGCTCCCATCGCTGGTGGGGCTCCGGGGCGGGCTATACAAGTCGAGTATACTCTCCGTTTGGGGCAGAGGGGTTTGTAGTAGCCCGTTAAGCTAAGTCACAGTCAACGTCCATTGCTCAAGCCGACAAATCATGATATGCAGCACATGAGTGGTGGTGTGGGTAATCCCTGGGTTGAAATAAAAAACGTTTTACGTTCAGAACGTCTTCGTGGCACGTGTAATTGGAGATTTGTTGAAGTGTATTTTAAAATTATGCCCTCTTGTATTGAAATATTCGCATTATTTTTGTGTATTTTATATCATTTTGACACGTGATTTTATAGTACAGGAGTTTCCTCAGTGTTGGATTTCGCCTGGCGGTGGAGATGGCGACCGCGGCGGACGCACTCGTATGGAACGTGCCGCCAAGCCCCCACGGCATCATGAAGATCAACCTCGTGTATGAAATCTTCGACAACGATGCGGCAAATGTGGATGACGTCAGCGCTCTCTTTACAACGTTGGAGCAATCCCATCGTTTGAACGAGTCGCGGAAACGCCCCCGTTCTCCCACTTCAAGTCGAGTCGACGCCGACAGCCACCACGTGGACGAAGTGTCAGCCGTGTTCACCAAACTCGAAGATGCATACAATGACTCCATTCCTCGTGCCAAACGGACGCGAACAAACGAGACGAGCGGGAAATACAGCTTGGCCGTCGACGACTGGGAGGCGAAAGATAGCGACGAATCCACCGACATGCGTGGGCTTAAGAATGACAACATACTCGCTTTCAATGGAGACAGTCCGTTGGAGCAACTCATCCATCCCGTTGTTGTCGTCTTCGTTCTCCTCAGCCCATTTTGCTCCATTTTGACGAGATCTTGTCGTTGCGCGCTCTCAGTGATTCCACCCCGTCTGCAATCGGCATTTTTGTAGTGGCAGTGCACGATCCGACATGCAGCTCCTCCTCGATCCTTTCACTTGAGCATTCCCACCAAACGAAGCTGCATCGTATGCAATCAAACATGCTTCGTCCGATTTTGCCAGGGAGTCCAGGTCCAAGCTCGACACTTGCAAGTTTGGTCGGTCTCCCATGCTGCACTGGGCAGAATACGCTAGTCGCATCTCGTCGTGCGACTCGACGACGCTCGTCCATCCTGTCATGATCAAGAGGCCGCGACCCTTTCATGATCATGACCAGCGTTTCCTTCAACGCCATCTCTCCGTCGTCGTCCCTGCGAGTAGACATTTGAGACGAGCGGCATCGTCCGTGGGAAGCGCCAATGCACACGTCATGACCGACGCATGCTGGCGTGGGTTGCCGCGATCGCTCAAGCGTCAGCGAACTCTAGACGACGTCGATGAGATCCGGCGACCGATATGACCGTCGCACACAGCGTCCTGGGCGATCGAATGGACATATCGCATGGATGCAATTTGACCTCACGGCGGGGAAGCATCACATTCCTTTAGCCGTGGCTATGCACGATCGCCATCATTTTCACATCTGGCTTCTGCCGCGAGCCATCGCGCGCGCGCCGCTTCCATTTGCGCGTCCAAATCGCCGTCAGTGTCAAGGGCAAACGACGAACTTTGCACACTCTCGTCGTCATCATCGCTGCATCTGCTGCTCGGTGCGTCATGGTACATTGCTTTGGCAGCGGCAAGACGCATGTCGAGGTCCATGTTGGCGCTGCCTGCAAAGCTAACGTTTTTTCGGGGAAAAAGCGCGGGTGGCGCCGGTTTGTCGTGGTGTTGTTCAAAGACGGACTTGGCTGCCGCCAGGCGCGCGTCGAGGTCCACCGCACTTCGAGACGACGCCGCCGCCGTGGCTGGCAGGTCTCGGTGGAGCCGCTCCATGGCCTTGTTCAGCCGCTCGTCGACGTCCATGAGGTGATTCCCGCCACCAAACGACGTCTGATCGTCGTCCGTGCCACTTGTCTGCACGAACGACGCTTGATTCTCCCGACGGTATTCGACCAGCATCTGATTGAGTTTCTTCGAGTCCAAAATCGACTTGTTCAAGCTGCCGTCCCGAGTTGCGGGCAGAATCGACCGCTCCAACGTGGACATGAAGGTGCTCATTTGCCGCGAACTCACGTCGTACCCTTCGTCCTGGAGCTGCTCCCGCACGTACCCGAGCAGCATGTGCGTGTATGCTTCCATGGCTCGCTCCTGCTCGAGGCGCCGGACAGTGTCGGGGGGTACGCTGAGCGCGGTCTCGCACGTCGAATCGTAGGCGGATTTGCACAAGTCGTCCGTCGGGTGAAACATTGCGTTCGAGAACGGATTCAACTTGAACGGCGCCATCCGTGAGCTCATGTCATACGCAAGATGATGATGGGTGTCGTCGCGCGGCGGTGCGAGTGGTTGCGATGGCACGGCGTTCGTCGGGGTGGATCGCCGCTGCGACGACCCGGACGACATGGTCGCCGACGGTGGAATGTCGCCCGATGCAGGAAAATAATGGTGCGTTGCCGATGACGCGGCCCTACGTCGTGAGCGCGCGCGGCAATGAAACGTGGGTCGGCGGCGGTGGCATGGCTACCTGGAAGTCGGCGATGCCGTGCCGATGACGCCAGAGGACTGGACGCCTTCACCATGGCTGCTGTAGTTTGGCTCGATTTTCGCCTGGGCTGGCGCGTTGCCCGCCGAAGACGACGGACGAAGCAGCCCCAGGGCCGACAACACAACACCAAACGTCGACCAGTGCAGATGATGAAGCGCGCAGGAAGAGTAGATGGTCGCTTGGAGAAACGCAGACTCCGGTGCGACGACTGCATTCAGCGCGTCCCATAGCAGCACGACAAAGGACAGCCCCAGGTACAGCGTCTGCACCACTTCGACGAAGAAGCCGGCACTGCCGTGAGTGATCACGTTCATGAGGACGGACGGCATGAGTGCGAGAAATACGACGACACCGAGTAGAATTTGCAAGTAGAAAAACGCGAAGCGCTGCATGTTGTCCGGGATCCAGCAGAACGACATGGGTTCGTCGAGGCCGAATCGATTCTTCGAGAGCGCGATGGACAACAAGATGCTTGGCACGGCAAACACCAAATACGACGGTATGCACTCGACCAAGTGTGACGGAGGAAGGTTGCGCACGACCATCTACATGCAAAACATGTTGAGCACAGTCGATGAATTGGATGTGTGTACCAAGTGCAAGGCGACAGTGTTAAACACCCACTGCCAGATCATAGCGGTAGCCGCGGTCTGGAAGAGGAGTCCTTTGACGCGGCAGAAAGAAACTTCTTCTTCTTCCTCGACCGATGAGTTTAATAGCATCGCGAGCGATACGATTCCAGCCAACGCACTACGTTTTCTGTCAGCACCACTACGATGGACACGATTACCATGAATGGGTCATGATTGGCGTCGTGGCAGCGGAGCTTTGGCGATGCTTCCACGCACGATAGAGCGTTACGATCGCACTCAGTACCAATGACGCGGAGCTGAGCACCCTCGTCGGTGTCTGCACGTCTGCCGCGCATTGCTGCCGTGCGTCGTTGCGCATGTTGTGCTTGCTGTCGTATGATCCGAATAAACTTCCGGTTGATGCGTATATTTCACATCCATCAAAACGTTCAAAAATGCGCTCGAACCGAATGATATATTGATCGAAGCATTTTTCATTAGAAAAATGTATTTGGCAAGTCAAGAAAATAGAAAAAAAAAGCAGAGAAAACAGTAAAAAATAGCAAAAGTTGGCACGCACGGTGTGACATTTGGATTCACGCACGCTCGAACCAGGGTCATGAACTTGGCCGTTCGCGACCTCCGATCGTTCGTTCCAGCCGCGAACTTTGAGCAGTCCAAGGCGTTCTACGCGGCCCTGGGCTTCGAGTGCACGTGGTCTTCCGACTCACTCGCGGTGTTCACGTACGGGCCACTGTCGTTCTACCTCCAAGCGTTCAATGACCAGCCCTTTATCGACAACTACATGATGTATCTGAGCGTCGACAACGTGGCGGACTGGTTCACGCACACAAAGGCTGTCACAGACACGTTCAAGACTCGCCTTGGGGAACTCGAGGACCAGCCATGGGGCCAGCGAGACTTCACGTTTCAGGACCCGTGCGGCGTGTGCTGGCGCGTCGCCGAACAGCGGGGTGGATGAGTTTAACGCGTTTAACGTACCATTCTTGGAACGATATGCACATTGCGCTCAAAATATACATACAAATATGCATATGACATGTCGACAAATTATCGTTCAACGCGGTCGTCGCAGCTATGTGGTTGCGTTGACAGAACCGTGGGGGATTTTCCTATTGGTGACACCCTCCTTTCGTTCACCTACATACACATATTATTGTGGGTGCCGCCCATCCAACCCGCCTTGTCGACATTCCAAATCTACGTTTATGCGCACTGCTGGCATTTCTACGACCCACTTGTTGCAAACTCATGCTGGCCTTCCGTCGCCGAACAAAGCCAAACATGATGAGGTCGCGTGTACGAAGGGGACTTTTTCCCCCACATTTGGGGCCAGCTACCAATTTGGACTTCCTCACGTACCGAAAACGAGGCAATTTCCCCTCGCCTATCCGCATAATCATCCGGATAACGTGCGGTGCCCAGCAGTGTGCATTACTCGCAAGTACTGTACGTGTGATGCGTCCGTCGCCGTCAGTCGACGTCTTCACTCGCCATGGGCCACTGCACTTCGAAGCAGCAACCGGCCGTGGAGCCCGCGCTTCCGCCCACCGCCTCGATTCGCCCTGCCGATGCTGCGCTTAACGACCAAGCACCAGCTCCAGAGGTGCGGCGCTCGTCCAACGTTCTCGTGGATGTTGTCTTGTCCGATCAGGACGACGCACCGATCAGCAGCGGCAGAGATAGCAGCGCAACGTCTGGTGCGAATGCAGCGATGGATAGCGACGAATGCGCTGAGCCGGAACGCGAAATGTCCCCCACGGCATCGCTCAAGAAGATGCCGTCCACACGCCGCGTGCGGCGCGAACCGTCCATGAACCGACCCGTCCGCAGTTCGAATGTCCGCCGCATGTTCGGCCAGCTCAAAAACTTCCAGCGAGAAGTTCATGACGTTTTCGACAATTCCCCCGACAAGTTTGTCACGTTCCACTCGTACGAGTACGACGACCTTCGGCCGTACGAAGCAGACCACTGGATCGAAGCCGACGACATCACGGTCGACGCGCAGCTTCCATCTTCGTCCATGATCGCCGAACGCGGACGGCTGCGCGACGGGCGAACGGTGTTCCTTCGCCGGTTGAACAAGAATGCGTCGTCATACAAGCTGAGTCGGAGTCGCCGGCTCCTGGTCGCTGAAGTCCGGCTCACCTCTCGGTTGACGCACCCAAACATCGTGCAGTTTGTCGGGTTCAACATCACGAGCGCGACGGGCCTCGTGTGTATCAGCGAATATGTCGATGGCCACTCGCTTCAGACCGCGCTGGCTGTGCCGTCGACGGCCGCGTCGATGACGTGGCGAGGGCTGAGCATGCGCTACAGCGTGCAGCTGTGCTCGGCGCTAGTGTACATGCACTCGCTGCAAGTCGTCCATGGCAATCTCAAATCGGACCACTTGTACATCAACACCAAGCAGCACGAGCTCAAAGTGTCGGGGTTTGGCTTTAGTTTGCAAAGCTCAACCACACACAAGAGCCAGAACGTTTGGAACGCGCCCGAGGTCCTGCAAGGGCTTCCGATGACGCAGAAAGTCGATATCTACAGCATGGGTGTGGTCTTGATGGAGATGGACACCCGCCGCGCGCCGTTTGCGGACGAGCAAGCGTCGATGAAGATCCACGACCTCCTCCTGCGCATCACGACCGGGTCGATTCGACCGACCTTATCGCGCGACTGCCCCGACCAGCTACGCCATATCATTCAAGCATGCATTCAATACCCGCCGGAGAACCGCCCGACCGCCGAGTGGGTGCTCCTCGAGCTCCAGCAAGCCCAAATAGAGCTCGACGACGCCCCCGCTCCAACCGATGGTGTGCAGTAGTCCAAGTCGTTGTGTGTGTGTTTGTTTGGAATCGAAGCACTGTTATTCAGGTCGTGTTGAAGAGTGCCCGTCGTGCTAGCGCAGTCGGAGCTGGCGACTCTGTCATTTAACAAACGTGGCTCGTTGAGCCGCTTCGTGCTCGCTGTGCTACCAGTGGCGCCTTCAGTCAGTGGACGGCCCCCCGCCCCGTGCGCTGGCCAGGCAGCGACGAAGCGTCCACGATTTGCGACTCGTTCCGCTCGACGGAGGGGACGACGACGTGGGGCTCCCCTCTCGGAGGGGCGACTACAGTGGTTGCTACCAGCCGCGCATCGTGTGTGGTGCGTGCAAAGCTTGGAGCGAGCGAGCTCTTGAAGTGGGTTTATCTCGGCATGGCGTTGGCCAGCACAACTTGCTTTGCTCTGGACCAGTCGGCCACGGACGCAAGGCCGATGACGATGGCATGGTTTCGATTGTGGGGATCGTAGTCCGGTCCAAACTGTGCCAGGGGGTGGGCAATCTTGAAGCGAAGTCTACTCCATGATCATGATCATGATCAGTGGAATGCGCGTACGACGTACGTGAGCGCGCGCTTGCAAAACACGACGCCGGTCATGTCCCGGTAGTACATGTGCATCGCAATGTCTCGCGCGCCATGTACAAACTGGTAGCGGCACTCGGTCGTTGAAAACGTCGCGGGGGAAGGAAATTTGCACTCGAGCCGGCCCACAACCAGGCTCAGCGTTGGCACGGTGAACGCCGCCGTGGCAACGCATTGTTTTGTCAGCGACTGAACGACCGAGTGCGCCTCGAGGCGAATCGTAGCCAGTTGGTCCGACAACGATGGCCGGGTCGGTCGTGGCACTACTTGGGGACGGGGCTGTACCTTTCTCGCTGGCTGTGTGATCACGATGGCTGTGCTCTGCGTTGACGGTGCGGATGGCGGCGTTGCGGGGCTGTCGAAGGAGGAGGGCGGTGTGGCTGCGGGATCTGCAAACAATCGAGGCGACGCGGGGGCTTCCGCACATGGTGCAGGGCCACACTTGCGCCGACTCGACTGCGAATAGTACGACGGAAGCGTGTCCTTGAACCGAGCAGGGCGGGCCATCGCGACGGTCGGAGAGTTGGCTAAATTTAGTTGTACGAGTGGTTCGCCCACCACAGCACTCCTCGTTCTAGTCGGTGGTCCTGTTTTCCACGAAATGCCAGCAAACGGTTCTGTCGACTCGATGGGACGTACGCGCTTACGCTGGGCGGGCTCCGCTGATGCCTGCAAGACATACACCACCACCCCATGCATTTGATGTGAGTTATATTTTGTATGACCTACGGAGGGTCTCCAAGTACTGCGATCCCTATCCCAAGCGAACACATCGTGAGCCACCCACGCCTCAGACCACCCCCGCTGTCGTCTTCCATCCAGGCTCCCTCCGTGGACGTGAGCGGACGAGGTAGACAAAGGCGAAGCACGGGCTAATATGCCTGTACAAACTTGCTCAACGTAATTGGGAACGTGGTGAAGTCTAGAGCTTTGGCAGGACGCAGCCCTGGGTCGTCGTGAGCTTTTGGCACACAGCTGGGACGGGGGCAACGCACTGTCTCGACGTCGCATTGTACGAACTCAACGTAGGCACGCACTCTGCGACGGCGACGGCCCCTGCGCCAGGACAGAGGACGGGGCGCCATGGCCGCTGCAGACAGCGCCTGCGATGCAGTACGTGGCGTCTCGTTCGCCGCTAACTCGGTCGCAAAAGACAATGTCTTCGGGCGAAGGATTGTGGTCGTGTGTCGATGCCTCGCCCGACGAAAGTGCGTCGGGCGGTCAGTGGACACGGCGGCGTCAGCGACAACGGGACGTTTATCGTTGGACGACATGTCGATATGGTAGGTGGCGACAAGGCGGTGGCGACGTCATGACAAGGTAGGTACTTGAAGGGGAGTTTCGTGCCAGGGCGCTCCACGAAAAAGGAACGTGTCGCAATTGTCCTGAGCCCCAATTGACCAAGTCGATGGCTTTCATTGCTCTAAAGGTGCAATCGAAAGATACATTGAAGAAACCTTTTCCAAGATGAAATAGGTTCGTCTATGCTGGGACGAATGTGGAGGTGGCGAGGACATCATGTCTCACACGCATGGGGTCGTTTGGAAATCTCGCCGCCACCCCTTTCGAGGCGTTGTGCTGCCATTGTGCAATTCACGTCGACATGACCGCGCTCGTCGCCCTCGCTGCCCTCTCCGCATTTGCCGCCGCCCGACCCGAAATCGTCGGCGGCACCGAAGTCCCCGTGGGCCAATTCAAGTACGTGGCGAGTCTCCGTAAGACCGAGTCCGGTCCAACCTTGTGCGGAGGGACCTTGATTGCCCCCACGAAAATCCTCACCGCCGCTTCTTGCGTCGACACGTCGACCAACTACGCGTCGATCGGATCGCACTTTTCGAGAGGCGACAAGGACGGCGAACGCATCAAGATCGTAAATAGAATCGTGCACCCCAAGTTCAACAAAACGACGCTCGACAACGACTTTGCCATCCTTGATTTGGCATCCAAATCCAAGGTCGACCCCATCGCGCTCAGCTGGGACGCGATTGAACCCGGCACCATGTCGTGGGTACTTGGCTTCGGCTGGCCCTCGTTTAGCGAGGACTTCCTCGAAGGTGTCGAAGTTCTCGGGGAGAATTCTCCCGTCCTCTTGAGAGCTGCGTTCAATACCTGGTCCAACGGCGAGTGCCAAAACGCGGTGGGAGACGAAGCCAAAATCTCAGAGTCCAGAATGTGCGCCGCTGCTGCCGGCAAGAGCCCGTGTTATGGCGACACTGGCGGACCGTTGATCATCAACCGCGGCGGTGTCGAGTACGTCGCCGGTGTGACGAGCTGGGACTCTGTTTGCGATTCAAAGTACCCTAGTGTGTACTCGCGCGTGTCGGTCGCCCGCGAGTTCATCCAACCCCACTTGGCTGTCGCCGCCACCCAGCCAGAAAACTAAGTTAGTACGAGGTTTCATACAACTCGGTGAACTTGTCAATAAAGTGGCTGCACCTCTCACGCTTGTTCTGTTCATTCACGCGTGTCGTCTGGTCGAAGCAGACGACATCGTAGACGTCGCTTCTTTTGATTGCCGTAATTCCGCTTCACTAGGTACTCATCATGGAACTAAACGCTTGCAATCATACCTGTTCGTTCCTCCTTTGCTTGATAAGCGCAGTAGATATCTCTAACCGTGACAGAATCAGCGATTTAGACGATCACTAGAGCATCAATGCTTTCGCTCGATGTAAACTGAGTGATTATTATTGCGAAAATGCCGACATCTTAACGAAACATCTGCTGAACATGACACAATTACACAATGTTCATTCATGTACGCAATGAATATTTCTTTCGATTCTTGTTACTCGAGTGAACAATACCACTCTGGCAATAATTGCAGGCGAATATTCAAGGCCATACAAAATACAAGTATGAAGAATCTGTATTTAAAAAGAATTAGACCGCAATGAGGTTGACAAGCTCACTCAATTCGTCCAGACGGCTCTCTTCTTCAATTCGCCGGTCCAACTGCTCCAACGTAGCCATGTCGTCATCTTTGTCTTTACTTCGAGGGATCTTGTAACTATTGTCACCATTCGCTTTGACGACGGCTTGCATGGCGCGCTGCAGGGTACAGAACGACTTTCCCAACGTTTTCGGAGACAAGTCGTGGTAGGACTTCTCCACAGCATGCACCAGGTCATCGATCGTCTGGCATTCCATGGTCTGTTGCAACGCTTGAATTGAGTTGAAAAGGCTCAAATCTAACACACTTAGATCTGGGCTTTGTGCAGGTTGGTTTCGGAATTGGATTGAAAACGATGGGTTCTGAGCAGCCTGATTCACTGCAGGGTCATCGGCGGCAACGTGGACACGAGCATTGTCCTGTTGCAGATAG